TGCTGCCCCATGCCAGGACCCCTTGCAGTCCCCTGCCGGGACCCCTTGCAGTCCCCTGGGTCACATCGCTCGGGGAGGGGGCTCAGGAGAAGGGGCAGGAAAAGGAGGGGCAGGGGCAAAGCAGGGTCAAGGCTTGGGGGAAGGGATAAAGTAGGAGCAGGTTGGAGGCAGAGTAGGGACATAAAGAGGAAAGGGACAACCATGAGGCAGGGAAAAAGAAGGCAGTGACTCCATGTTGCCCTTGTGCTGCGGGAGACTAGAGGTATGATCTACTGGAATAAAGAGAGGAAATCCACTAGAAAAATATAGCCAAAGTGGGGAGAGGGAATTCCTTCCTAGACCTTTGGAAAACAGGACGACCTACTCTGGGCCTGTACCAGTTGTCATGGCTAAACTTGGTGCCCTATCTTCCTGGCCTAGAATGGGGTGTTTGCCCTGGGCCCCACACCTGGAGCACCGGGGGGCTTACCTTGGGCCCTGCACCCACCTAGGAGCAGCCCTGGTCATTGTGGGTAGAGTCACTGCTTCCCAGGAGAGAATCACCCATCCGGTAAATAGGACCAACTTTCTGAGGTAAAAGACTTTCAATTTGGCCTTATTGAGACACACGCTGTTAGCAAGTGATCCAAATCATACCGTATCCACGCTCTGTCCTCTTCATTGCTTTCCACCCCTCCCCAGCCTTGTGCCATCAGCAAACGCTGAGAGATGATGTTATGTTTTTTTCCTACAATTGACAGAAAACAGCTTCGGCTGTTATCTATACTCTGGATTCTATCATTTTCACTGCAATACATCTGATAATGCGGGTTTTACCAATGAAAGCTCATGAGATAATATATTTGGGTATGTCTACACTACCCCGCTAGTTCGAACTAGCGGGGTAGGTTTTCCGCAAAAGCAGGAGCTTTTGCGGAAAAACTTGCCAGCTGTCTACACTAGCCACTTGAATTTGCGCAAGAACACTGATGATCTCATGTAAGATTGTCAGTGTTCTTCCACAAATACTATGCTGCTCCCGTTCGGGCAAAAGCCCTCTTGCGCAAATGCTTTGGCACACAAGGGCCAATGTAAACAGCTGAAAATTGTTTTGCGCAAAAAAGCCCCGATGGCGAAAATGGCGATTGGGGCTTTCTTGAACAAAACCGCGTCTAGATTGGCACGGACGCTTTTCCGCAAAAGCACTTTCTGCGGAAAAGCGTCCGTGCCAATCTAGACGCTCTTTTCCGCAAATGCTTTTAACGGAAAAGGTTTTCCGTTAAAAGCATTTGCGGAAAAGAGCGTCTAGATTGGCACGGACGCTTTTCCGCAAAAGCACTTTCTGCGGAAAAGCGTCCGTGCCAATCTAGACGCTCTTTTCCGCAAATGCTTTTAACGGAAAAGGTTTTCCGTTAAAAGCATTTGTGGAAAATCATGCCAGTCTAGACGTAGCCTACGAGATTATTTCTAAATACAGGAAGCCCCCGACTTGCGACTGCCCGAGTTCTGACCCCCCGCACTTACAACCATTTTCATAAGTGCGGAAGGGGCCGGAAATCCCCAGCTTACATCCTCGGCTCACATTTACGATGGCGCATGGTGCCTACCGTAAATGCGGTTTGAGTTAGGATGTCCCCAACTTGCGATGCTTCCCCCGGAACCAATTACATCCCAAGACAGAGGCCTCCTGTAACTTATTTTGAAATAATAACTCCTGAAATAACTATTTTGAAATAGCATGTCCACACTAAAGGGAAGCCTTGAAATTAGTCCCTTAATGTGAACACATTTTACCTTGACTTAGAGCACCAGGAAACACTGGGAAGTAATTACTTTGAATGTCTCTGGGGAGTCGTTATTTTGAAATAGCAATTTCAAAATAAGCTTATTCTTCCTCACATGCAGGAGTTATTATTTTGAAATAACAAGCCCGTTATTTTGAAATAATTTCAAAATAACGGGCTTCTGGTGTGGACACTCACCTTGTTATTTTGAAGCAATGGGAGTTATTTTGAAATAAATCCCCAGTGTAGACATGCCATAAGGTGTTCTAGCACTGCTGAGTGTTAAATAGAGTAGAGCAAAAGATCAAAGCCAGGCGCTCCCATCCTTCTGTAGAAGAGTGGGTCAAAAGCTACTAAAAAGCTTTTGTGGAAAACTGTAAAGAAAAATGTTTATTGAAAATGTCCATGGAATTTTCTCATATTTTGAAGGAAAGGTGAACTTACTGAGGGGGAGACGGGGGAGTGTAAATCATGCTGACGGCAGGTGACTGTTACAGAACCAGCTGTATAAATTTGGTAAACTGGGCACAGTCAGAACAAATTGTGTTTTTGTCCAGCCAAATGCCATAACCTTCACCATAAATCGTAAGGTCATAAATCTCGGAACAAAGACTGTAGGCCCCAGCTACAGGACTGGGGACGATGCCCTGGAAAGCTGTGACCCGGGAAGGATTTAAAGATCATGAATGAGCCACAAGACATGAATTTTCAGCGTGACGCTGTGCCTAAGAGAGCTAACCCCAAAACCCGTTTCTGATGTCTATGCTTTTGCAAAGGATGAGGAGCAACCAGGGAGGCTACATTTACACTATGAGTTTTCTCGGCAAAAATATGCTAATGAGGGATTCATTTGCATGCGTCTCATTTGCATATTTGCTGCCGATCCATTTTTTTGCTAGTGTTTTTGTGAAAAAAGAAAACAT